TTTTTTTTTGATCAATAATAATTACAGATAATTTTGAAATGTATATATCTTGTTTTAACGGTGTTTAATCTAATAATATAAAAGAAAAATATATTAAAGATGTGTGTGTATATGGAAAACGAATATTTCTAATATATTATGAGGATATTTGAAATAGAACAAATTCAAGTGAAAATAGGACGTGAGAGAAATTCTATATTATCGATGTATATCTTTAAAAAGTATCTCATATAACACGTTATACTTACTGTTTGTAAAGTAATAAATATCGATCCTCACATTACGGTATTACTTTTCCATCGAAACAAGATTATCACCAAAAAAAAATAAAATCGATAATTTTTATATTATTTTGTATTATAAACTAAAAAAACTATCCCAAAGAAATATTATATTCTCTTTCCCTTGTATTATATCGATAAAATATAATCGATAAAAAGAAGTTATTGTTAGAAAAAGAAATATTATCAATCGAAAAAAGTATAAAGAAAATAAGAAATCTAACCGTTTTTCTTTCTTGCAACTTTTTCTTTCTTTTTATTATTTTATTATTGTTGTTCTTATTGTGTATCGTAAGAAATTTCGAAACGTTAGCCTATATTTCTCGATCTGTGTTTCCTTTAAAGTTTCTCAAAGAGAAAGAAGGATCTTTTTCGGTCGAGTCGTTGTACATAGTCCGGCACTTCTTTCGACAAAGCTTTTCTCGATCTAACAACAATAAGAAGAAGAAGAAGTAGAAGAAGAAGTAGAAGTAAAAGTAAAAAAGTAAAATAAGAAGAATAAGAATAAGAAAAGTCAGGGGGGTCCAGTGATGCGAGAGAAAGGTAGGAAGTTCAGAAAGTCGGTTGCACCCGGATTTATTTGTGTCGTTGAAGGCCAGTTCTTTTCTTCTCTACACTGTAAAAGAGCAAAGTGGGATTCTCGTCCATCGTCCAGTTAGCTTTTCCATCCTTATCGTTCGCCCTTTTCACGATTTTCCATCCACTCTACTACTAGCTTTTTCTTATTTTCTCTTATACTTATTTCATTTCTTTTTATTTACCGAATTTGACTTCCGTGTATTAGGTTTTTTTTGTTTTTTTCTCACACACAGATGTGTTAAAGGTAATTTATATTAAACAATTTATATTAAACACAGTTTGTAATATCTTGACAAGTAAATAACTAATAAGCTAACGAAAATTATGGGAATTATTTTATTTTATATAAAATATAAAACAATAATATACTAATTTTGATTTGTTTTTCCTTTGGAAGATCTCTCATAGAGAAAACAGAATATATGTTTATTAATTATATTAGGATTCATTTCAGATGTGTTGATAGGAGAGTTTCTGTTAAATCAACTCTCAATTTAAATCTTTGTTTTTCTTTTGAAAA